TTCATCCTACAAGTTTAATTTTTCTGGTAATATATCTGATTTATTTTTGAGTGAATCATTTGTTTTTATTCATGTTGCTAACCGCTAACCAACTGATATAAAGTGTCTGGCTAGAAACAAGGCAAATATAGTTTTAATATACTTAACAGAAAATATCTTTGAAAGTTTAGTTATGACTTAAGACTAATTTTAAATGGATATTCCAAAAAACATAATTCAGATTATATATAATTTTCAACAAGTCATCATAATTTTTATAATTCACTGATATTAGAAAAAAAATATGTAAGTAGTAATGAAGAATTATATTTAAGAATTAAATATATTAAGAATGAAAATTGTTTCATAAATCAAGGATATTTAAAGAGAAAAAACAAACATTGAAAATTATAAAGTGAATATTTATCAATTAAGATTCCTGACAAATGTGATATGCATATCTTTAGATTTTTCTATATAGCATAAAAATTAACACATTGAAACTTGCAAAATAAAGTACCAAATATAAAAAAAATTGATATTGCTCAGATAAGAAACACCTAATTGTTTTTAAAAAACTGGATGATTAACAAAAACTAATTTCATCTAAGACAGTGAAAAAATAAATAGATGAATAAAAACTATGCAGATCACATCTTTGTTGTTATTCTTGAAAGACAGCTGGAAGAACAATAGAAAAGTAAATATTTAAAGACTGATAAGGATAGACAAGATTGTAGCAAATATACTTCCAGAATGGAAAAATTGATCAGTGACATGACAAAAACCTCAGAGGGAAAAAAGGATCATCCAATGAGTCATTCGCCCATTCCTTTTCTATGCAGCAAGATGTTTTTAAATTTACTCACATGCAGCTCTTAAAGATATATTTTATAACTTTAATTTTGAAATTTATATTTTTAAATTTGAAATTTTAGTTTCATAATTTAAATTAAGGTGTGCATGCATGCATATTATATAATTATAAACTTCTGAACAAAAGTTACTTTTAAAAGGAGTCAAAAAATCTGTTTATAGTTCAATAATATAAAGTATATTTTTAAAAGATTCAGCTGTACTAAACTGAAAAATTCAATAGTCGTCAAAACCAATACATACAGAATCAATTACCTACTAATGAACATATTTACATTCATTATATTAATACAGATTTCCACAAACAATTTTAAAATATTTGTAAACATTACTACAGGTGCAGTTTTAAGATGTAGTTTTGTGTTTTAACTATTTCTAATTTTTTCATTAGCTATGGTCAAGAAGTCAGTCATGTTTCAATTCAACTATAAACATTTATTATAACTCAAATTGGTTTACAGAATTTCAAACTCCAAGAAAATAAATATTGCTAGTAAAGACTTATTTGAACATTGTTTGCTGTTCACACCAGGCTTTTGAGACAGGCAAGTCATCTCCCATTTTTTTATGGAACCAAAGCCATATATTCTTTAATTCTTGGCTCAAGCTTTAAAGTTTAGATTTTAATTTCTTCTGCTATTCTCTAGAAAGTGGAGCTTTTCAATTTGTGAAAAAGTTAAACTTTGTAACCTGATTAAAAAGTCTTAACATTTAACTAACATTTCTGACTCTTTGACGTTTTTATTTTTTCAGAATTAAAAAATTTATAATGAACTATAATCATAATACCATATATGGTCAATATTTTAAATGTTATATAAAATTTAACAGCTATTTAATGTTTTAAGTACTGTTATAGTCCTAGTATACCAGTAAATCAACAATTATATAAACAGACTATTCCTACACTTGATTGAAAAATGGTTTAATAATAACTGGTGAATGGTAGTTATATTAGTTCATTGGTATCCCTTTCCTCTCCATGTCAAAAATGGCTTAGTGTTTTACAACTATCAATTTCAGTTAAATGAGCAGCTATGATAATTATCAAGCCATTGTTAGGCCTAATGAACATTTCTAAAAAGATTTAATCTCAAAAGAATATTTTATTTAATCAGATCCTCAAAGTTGTGTTTCTTTTACAAAAAGGCAAGACATTAAATGTTCGCTGCTAGCTTTCTTTTGGCTTGCAATTTGGATGTAATGAACAGACAAATCACAAAATAGAGCTTTTACATTTCTTTCCCAGAGCAGAACTGGGACAAATTGAATAGGGATCTATAAAATACATTAGTGAAAAGTATTATATGAACCTGCTGTTTTTGTATAGTAAAATCCTCATTTCAGTTATATGCATGTAAAATCAGAATTTGATATGTAAAATTCTTGAAATTATGTAGATTCTTAAAGTACACCACTATCAAATATAGTTAATTTCTTCTGAAAAGATTATTATAAATTACAAAAAGCTTCTAAAAATAAAAACCAATTTTAGAAATTTTGCACTTTCTGAACATATTTAATATAAGTGAAAAAATAAACAATGAAATAAATTACAGAACTTAAAAAGCAATAATTATAGAATAGACTATAGCTTATTCAAGTACAGTAAAATACACTAGAATTAGATTGTTACACATTGCTATTTATTAATTCTGGAATATTTTAAGTTATCCTTGCACTTGAAATGTTCCAGAATTAACACACTGATTTCTATAATCTTATTGTAAAGTGAACTATGCTTTACCATACAATTAATACAAAAATTGAGGCTACATTCCTGGAAAATTTAAGGCTACATTTTACAAAGATGTTATATCAAAGTATTTTTTGATTTAATAGATAGATGTTTATATACCTCGTACCTAAGTAATACCTTGCATTGACTTAGCTTCCAGAAAATCATTTATGATAAAAATGTGTGTGTCATTTTTATATGCAGTTTCTTAAAATCAGTACTGCCATTAAAGTAATATGCTCCTGAAAGTTTGGATGACAGCATCATCATCATGTCTGTACAACAGATCTAAATCATGTTAAAGTAAATTTATATGAAAATAAGGCTAAGATTACATATTGTTATACATGATCAAAAAATTAATTTCTGTTGTTTATATAAAGAATTAGAGATAATAAAAATAGTTCCAAATTATTCAAAATATCACAAACTGCAAATAAAAATTGAAATGCTTGACTGAGTAAATCATGATTGGGACTCCTGCTCTTGCAGCCATCAGCTGGCTGCTGAAACAGATGAAAACATTTTCAGTATTCTTTGAAATCAAACCAAAAATATTGCTGAAGGTTTATTTGGTGTTTTTTTTTTTTGAGAAAAATCAGTTAAGTTATGCACCTGTTATTGTTAACTGTCTTATTCAAGCTAATTATATTGGGCCTTTAATTAATATCATTTAATAAATATATTAAGTTTACATTTACTAAATATTAAAACAAAGTATAAATCTTTAATGTTCTAATTAATTTAATTAGAACATTATTAAAAGATTTAGTGATGATAAAAATTCTTTTCAATATTCCAAAATCAACTCTATAATTTTTAATAATTGCCAAAAATAACCGATTTTAAAAAGTCAGAATCTGGTAATGGTAATTTTTGAAAGTAAAATTTATGAAATTAAGAAATAATAAGACAAAAAAAGTCAGCTGTTTAGTTAAAAATCAATAAAGCAAAACAGGTTTTACATACAAAATATGTTTGAACTTTTTTAGTAATAAAAAATGTTTAAAGATCTAAGGTATTTATTTCATTATGCTACAAGAAATTTAAAAATTCCACAAATGTTACATTAGAGGTTTCTATGAATATGGTCAATTACTTTAACTTACAACTGAAATATTCAGCAAAAATTCAGAATACTAATTTATATATCATGCTAAACAATGGAATGATACATATGGAGTTACTGTACATTTGAAGTTCATAAATTTTAAACTTAATACATTTAAATTTTTTTTTTATTTATACTAAATATTTTCCTTTTACATTTAAAAAATAAAAGGAAAGTTATTTTTAAGTGTAATCAAGACATGTTAAAGTTTTGTTTTACCTACTAGGAAGAACTTTAAATTTTCCTTAATTTAAAAAAAATTAAACTTACTATCAAAACAAATGTTTCTCTTTAATAGTAAGGAGATAAGAAATTATACTTTAATACTGAACTAAGTATTTAAAACTGAACAGGCTTTCTTACAAAAATTTAAATCAGCAAATGGTTTCATCTACACACTAAAGACTGTCAAATTTAGATAAAGTCTTCATTGAAATGCTAAAATGGTCATTATTATTATGCAAAAATGGTGACATTTCTTTAATGCAAATTCACTTTATGAAAAAAATAAATAAATAAAAATTCAGTATGCATATGGTAATAATGAAATTAAAAGCTAAAATCTACAGTTAAAGAATTATGCTAACATAAGCCAAAGATCAAATAGATAGTAGTCAAAACAAAATTTTTATTTTTCTGATTAAGATAAGAGAAGACAAGCAAGCTTTTTATATATATTATATATATATAGAAATGCTCTGCTTTACAAAATTTTGGGAAATTTCAGTTCCAGTTTAAATTACAATTATATCAATTTAGAAAAAAATTATATTCAACAACAAACTAAATGGGGAAGTAACTTTTAGTATTCAAAATATTTCATATCTGCATTAAATTAATAAATTTAATAATTTTCTTTACTTATATATTGATCAGATCAAGAGAATTTATCTAGAATTATTTCTCAAGGATGAAATTTTAATTTAGAAAACAACATGAAATTTGTTAAACTTCAATTTTTTTTTTTATCCCTCCCTTCTGAAATTTACAAAAATTTATTAAAATTGAATAAATATTAATTGGGAAAGCTTCTCTTAAAGTAGGTCTGTAATTATATGATTAAAGATGACATTTATTAACATAACATGGAACAGAAAAAAGAAAAAGATTAATTTATGGTTCTACAGTGAAAAGAATAGGGTTTATTAAAAGAAAATGTAAATAGGTATAAAAGGTATTTGACTTTTAAACATTATTGTGATTTTTATATGGAAATGTGGTTTATAATGGATGAATGACGAGGGGGGAAAGCAGAATTAAAATGAGATTATTATTGAGCATTAGGCGATAACTTACAATCTAAATGCTTCTTCTTTGGACCGATGGCTTCTTCGGTTGTCGCTTTACAAACGACTCTAGCCAAACCTTGACCGGCTAACGTGTGTCTAGCAGCAGTCAAACGATCATTCAAAGTCTGTCCCGACATCTTGAACCACACTGAAGACTAAAGGGGGTGGCAGAGACCCCAAAGAACTGTTGAATTCCAATAAATAGTTAACCAGAGAATCGCTCGCTGCAACTTGATTGTGTAAGATTCTAAGCTCCAAAATGGCGGATGATAATCACCATGACAACGTCGTCGCCAATCAGGATGTGACTTTTACGTGACGTTGTAGCCAAATGTAAAGGAGCTGCCCTCTAGTGTCATCTATAGAAGTTAGAATGAATCACGTGCTAGATTTACGCCCACTTCTCCCTTATTCTGGAATAAGTTGACCGGTGGTTCATGAAAATCACTTTGCATACATAAAATAACTCGCTATAAATAATCTTTTATTTTTAATCAGTGTCGGCCTATGTAATTTGAGTGCAATATACTGTTATCGTTTTTCACTTAACTATCGTACTTTCTTTCTAATAAAATCTTAAATAAGAATACTTTGTCTTATATTTATAAAATTGATGGCATACAAAGTATGAAAGTATATTTATTGTTTTTTATAGTTGCGAACACGCGAGACTTTTCTATTGTAATAGAATGAATATTTTTTTTTTCAATAGAAACATTTAGTTTTTAAATGTAATGCTTAATTTCATTGACTTTTGATCTTTAACTTGAGAAAAGAAAAGATTGTATTGATGCTGATTTCTTATCAAATATAACCTATTTACAATGAGTAATTTTACGTGTTCTTTCTGTTAAATACAATGATGCGTCTTCCTTGCATCACAATACTTAGTCAATGACCTTTTACAAAAGTTATTTTATAAAATCACGAATATCACCAAGCGCATTAAAATAATTAGAATTTTTCTATATGTACATACAAGTATACCTACAGTCCTACATAATTTTATTCCACGATTTAAGGAATTTATTTCTAATATTTTGACTACACTCTGATTAAACAAATCAATTTATATATGAATACATTTACTGTAATTTAGTTTGTGTGTTTATACTGTATATTTGATTGATATTTATAGTTAATACAATTTACAATATCATTAGAACATAATTCTAGTCTCAAAAATGAAATTCGTTTATAAATTTCTGTTCAAAAAATAGCCTGTTTATATTTGATAAAGTAAAACTATCACCTTGCAATAACAATTACGGTTGATTTTCAAATTCAATGAGTTTATTCATATGCTATTTAAACAACCAATATACTAAATTACGATACTTCTATAGAAGAAAATTATATTATATTAATAATTATGTTTGATTGCAATATAACTTCCACATTTCGATACTTTTTACAAATGGCTTTTAAATGAGATAACATTATCCTTTATATAGAGCGTGATAATTGCTTACTTTTTAATCAAAATTATACTTATCCTTAAAGTATTCATATATTAAACAATAAAAATTTAAGCACACCAAATTAAATTCAGTTTTTTTTTATCTACAAATATTAATTGGGAAAGCTTCTCTTAAAGTAGGTCTGTAATTATATGATTAAAGATGACATTTATTAACATAACATGGAACAGAAAAAAGAAAAAGATTAATTTATGGTTCTACAGTGAAAAGAATAGGGTTTATTAAAAGAAAATGTAAATAGGTATAAAAGGTATTTGACTTTTAAACATTATTGTGATTTTTATATGGAAATGTGGTTTATAATGGATGAATGACGAGGGGGGAAAGCAGAATTAAAATGAGATTATTATTGAGCATTAGGCGATAACTTACAATCTAAATGCTTCTTCTTTGGACCGATGGCTTCTTCGGTTGTCGCTTTACAAACGACTCTAGCCAAACCTTGACCGGCTAACGTGTGTCTAGCAGCAGTCAAACGATCATTCAAAGTCTGTCCCGACATCTTGAACCACACTGAAGACTAAAGGGGGTGGCAGAGACCCCAAAGAACTGTTGAATTCCAATAAATAGTTAACCAGAGAATCGCTCGCTGCAACTTGATTGTGTAAGATTCTAAGCTCCAAAATGGCGGATGATAATCACCATGACAACGTCGTCGCCAATCAGGATGTGACTTTTACGTGACGTTGTAGCCAAATGTAAAGGAGCTGCCCTCTNTTTTATTTTAAATAAAAAAAAATAATATTAGCACTATGTTTATTTAGAATCAAAGATATACGTATTTATTTTATTTTAAAAAATCAGTTTTGAATAAAAAGAAATGTTAAACAATAAACAAATAGCACCTGTCAGTAAAAATTAGCCCACAAGGACAGAACTTAAATGATGACCTGAATCTAAAAACCTGGAAAATTTTCTTGTAATTTCAAAACTAGTCCAATCTAATTGCACAATGTTATATTAATCTATCACAATATTAGAATTTTTTGTGTGTTTTTTATTATATATTAGGTATTATTTTTAAAATTAAACAATAAAAATTTAAGCACACCAAATTAAATTCAGTTTTTTTTTATCTACTAAATTAAAAATGTAACAATAAATTATGACTTAATTTTTTTGTTTTACAGATTCTACAATGCTTACGAAATATCGAATATTTTCTATTAATTTAAGTAATTAAATATCAAAATAATACTGTTTTTTTTTTTTACGTGTATAGAGACAATTGAAATGTATTCTTCCGTCAGATCAGTTTAGAAAAGCGGATATACCGCTACAACATAGCTACTTTATTAACCCGTATAACCTATAACAGAATTTGCTGAATCACTTTTTTCACTTAATACATTACAATAATGTATTTTAATTGGTTATGATCCGTATAGCCCAATTATTTATTTAATAAATGAATACGCATGAATGGATTTTAACTTGCTTGTAATGTTATAAAAAAAGCATTTAACTGATATTAGATGATAAGGAAAATTTTAATGCGCAAAATAACACGATTAAAATAAATTTACATGAATCTGCAAAAAGATAACCTAATATCTAAGTGTATAATAATTCATATTTAACTTTTAAATTTCATTGACTTGTCATTATTTACATTTAATTTATTTTAGTTTAATTTAATACAATTTTTCTTTAAAATCATCCAAAATATAAAAATATTCAACTCTTAATCATTAAATTATCAATTGATTTATTTAATTGTTTCAATGAGTTTAGAAAAAGTTGATGTTTCTAATGGCATGAAAATAATTTTCCTTTTAACATACAGCTGAAGGAAAGGGAAGGGGAAGTGTATTTATTATTATTATTATTATTATAAATGGACATTATTTTAAAAATAAATAAACAACAATTAAATATAAATTTTTATTATTTAAATAAATTGATTTAATTTTATATATAAGATTCCTATATATGGTATAAAAAATTATTTTAAAAAATAATTTCAGATATATTCAAATACCTAAGCTTAAAATACTTAATCAGAAATGATAAGGGATATTTGCATAAGTTTATCAGGCTGTTTAGAGTTTTCTCCTTTTTTTGTTATTCAATTTTCAATGCTAAACAATATTTTATTTTAAATAAAAAAAAATAATATTAGCACTATGTTTATTTAGAATCAAAGATATACGTATTTATTTTATTTTAAAAAATCAGTTTTGAATAAAAAGAAATGTTAAACAATAAACAAATAGCACCTGTCAGTAAAAATTAGCCCACAAGGACAGAACTTAAATGATGACCTGAATCTAAAAACCTGGAAAATTTTCTTGTAATTTCAAAACTAGTCCAATCTAATTGCACAATGTTATATTAATCTATCACAATATTAGAATTTTTTGTGTGTTTTTTATTATATATTAGGTATTATTTTTAAAATTAAATATTAAAGAAAAATAGAAAAATTTTCTTTTATTTCCTTAAAATTGAAAAATCTAGTTAAACAGGTGATAAAACCAGGTGTTTTAACGTCATGAAGAGGGGAAAAAAACCAGTTTCCTCCATCCGGTTTCATATTCCTGGTATATATTCTTCTGCATCTGATACATATCTTAATATTTTCGCTGTTTGTCAAATGAAAATGAATGTTTAGATTTTTTTATTTTGAAATTTCATAATCATTTAAGACATTGTAGACTATATTATTATTTTCTATCTAATCTACAACTAATTAAAATGGAAAAATAAAATAATCATACTTAAATAATGATTATTCTATGATAATTGCTACTAAATATAAACAACAAATTAATTTTTATCTAAGTATTTATTAATTAATTTTTGAAAATTTTTATGCAAATTGTAAACTATGTAAATTTTGTTTGTTTTCCTCCATTTTAATTAATTTTAAAGCAATTTAACTTGTGCTTGTAGATACAGTGAATATTTTATTGAAATTATATTAAATTTGTTTGTATTATTTTATTAATTATCAAACATTTTATCTTGATATTTTATTTTAAAAATATATTTTTTTATGCAAATTAAATTAAAAAAATTAAAAAGCAATTATAACATTCAATGCCATGTCATATTTCATTTTCTTAGAATTTTGAAATAGTAACATATGAAATACATTAATAAGAATAAAAAATAATTTTTACAAAGTAAATCATTAATTTATTTTCTTAAAATAGAGTACCAGAAATATCGAGCATAATTAATTTTTAAATAGTTTTCATTATCAAATTTATTATTTATTTATTCAGTCCGACAATATTCTTTCAATTTTAAGATTGATTTAACTACCAATATTCTATAAGATCTTCAGTTGGCCTCAATTAGACATGGCCTGGTCCTCAAAGGTTAGCCAACATGAAGATGGTGAAAAACTCTTCAAGCTGTAATTTTCGAATTCGAATCCTTTGTAGATTTCTCCGGCTATAAGTTTATTACAGTTTATTAGTATTGAAATAATATTCCTTGGAGGTAAAAGACGAAGGATTTCCCATTCGAAACCAATCCCGGTCATTCTAATAGAAGTACAGTACAATGCTCTATCATACTGGGAAGTGATCCAGCCCAAATTTAAATAGACAAATGAGATTTATTATATATTAAATATTATATAAAGTTTTATATATTAAACTACAAATTATTAGTAATAAAATTTTATTGAATTTTATCTGAAAATTTGCAGCATAGAGTTAAGCTCAATCAATGATCATAAGATTATTTTATAACAAATTAAATAAATTTTTAATCAATTTGTTACTGGGCAATCAAATTATCATAGTGATAATAATTGATTTACATGATGTTATTCGCATTTTACTTTCTTTTTTATGTCTTAAAATGAAATAAAATTATACTATAAAATT